GAGTGGAAGACATGAAAAGCCTGGCTGGCTAACTGTCTATGATCATAGGTGCCTGATTTTCATCTCCCGTGTTCGGTAGTAGGTGTAATAGGGTGAGCAATATTGAGGTTAGGTGTCGATCGAGTGCTAGGAAGGTAGAGAGGGGGAAATCAATAGACGAGGCTATGAAGTGACATCGATTGAGATGGTTAGGACATGTGTGTTCGTATGCTTGCCTAGCCATCACCTCCCTCGACAATAGATAATGTTAACTGACCTAGGATGGATCAGGTTGGAAAATAACTAGTGAATGGTGATCAAACCAAAATATGGCTTCATCAGTCGATGAAATCCACATTTGTTAGTTTAAGCCAGCCAGTCAAGTGGAAAAGTGTAGACTTCCTGACTGACTAGTTGGGGTTCTCGGGACGGTAAAATCAAATGAAGGCTGGAAACGATTGGTGATATGGCTCGCTCAAAATCCCTGTTCTCAGTGGCTGGCTGGTGCAAATGAATCCACTCCTTGTGATTTATAATATCCAATTAAATTCTGTTGTTCTTCCGTATGACTATTCTTTCGCCACATATCTGTGTTTACTGTCTCTGTTTTTAATCTCATTTTTCTTTTGTCTCTTGCTTTGTGTGCATAGTTAGGTGTGACGGCTAGAACTGGATTTGGTCACCATGTTAGGTGGCTATGCATCACGATTCACTCAGAATTGTTGTTATTAGATAGCTGGAGGCAATCAGCAAGAATCCTTTGATTCACCTAGGTTCCGTGCCTGTCAGCAGTTATCAGAAAGGCGTGTCTGCAAAGAAAAGCACGAAATCTAGGTCCAAGGCTTCCTGCGGATTGTATCAAAGAATCTAGTAAACCTACCTTAATCAATTTTGAATAGAATAATTTGAATTCTTAACACATATTAGAATGTGATAGCTTTCTGTAGATACTAATATCTAATCAAGCACTCTGTTTTTGTTTAATTCTGTACTCACATGTCACAATTCCTTGGTCGTATAATACACCAAAATTAATTTTTTTTTAAGGGTTGCACTATCTCAGAAAACATGATTGGATTTCATAATTATTTCAAATTTGATGACGGATTTGCATCAGATAAACTGTCAGTTGACTGGAGGTTCCGGACTTAGTGAACAGTGGTTTTCTGAGTACGTGAGGGGGTAAACCCAAATAGGAAACGATTAGTTGTACGTGGTTTCGATAGCGAGAGGGAGGACAGCGTGTCTTGTGGATATCAAAACTTATGAGAAAAAAAAATGGAGACAGCTTAAAGAGATTTCAGACGATCAAGTGAAACTGATATGTTGTACTGCTGAAGCCATGTATTTTCCATGAAGGATCCATTGGAATAATAATAATAATAATACTTCTTGAAGCCTTTAGATAAATAAGCCAGTGATTTTGAATTTAGATATTTAAAGCTTCAAAACAAGGCGAATGTTATGAGTCTTCAAGCTTCACAGAAATATGCACATGACGCCTTATACATATACAGAGTTGAATACAACTTCTTGTGAGGCATTTACACTAAGCAGTTTCATTTTAATTGACAAAATCAAAGATAATTAATATCAAGGACAAAAGCATGTTATCTTTGTACATAACATCTTTATTCACAAATGTACCACTAGTACAAACAGTTAACTACATATGTGAACAAATGTATAACCAGTTGATAGATATTGGTATCCCAAGAGAAATCCCAAATGAATTGTTTTCAAGGTGTATTTATCTATTTTTTATTTACAGCTTGATTCCACACTGTATTTTGTCATGAAGATAAACTTCAAATTGGGTGACACACTTTACATACAAGTGGATGGGGTGGCGATGGGCTCCCTATTGGGTCCCATTTTATCTGATTTCTTTATAAGTAAACTTAAGAATGGACCTCTTAATAAGCACCTTATCAGAAAGTTATCATTTCATTGCGGGTATATGAATGAAATCTTCATTCTTTGTGATAATGATTCGGATAGGAGTACAATAGTTAGTGAATTCAATGAAGTATATTCGGCTATGAAATTCACGTTCGAAGAGGAATCCCAAAACAGAATCGCCCTTCTGGATGTGTCCCCCTTACAAGAAAACTAGATGGTAGCATAAAGAGAAATTCGCATAGGCAAAGTATGTGGACAGGATAGTACACACACATTTTCACAGTTTGGTTCCTATCAGCCCCAACGGGCTGATCTCTGACGAAATCTCAGCACGAATACAAGGGGCTCGTTTCGCATTTTCCAGTTTACGCCGACTCTGGCGTAGACGAGATGTTCGACTATGGACCAAAGGGCGGGTGTACTGCTCATCAGTCCGCTCCGTCCTCCTTTATGGTTGTGAGACCTGGCCACTGAGAGTGGAAGACATGAAAAGACTAGCTGCCTTTGATCATAGATGCCTGCGTTCTATTTCCCGTATAAAGTGGCATAATAAGGTGAGCAACATGGAGGTTAGGCGTAGAGTTCTAGGTAAACAGGGGAAATCAATCGACGAAGTCGTGAAGTTACAAAGACTGAGATGGTTAGGACATGTGTTACGTATGCCAAGCCATCGCCTCCCTCGACGAGCTATGTTAGCGGATATAGAGTCAGACTGGAAAAAAGCTAGCGGCAGTCAAACAAAAACTTGGCATCAGTCAATGAAATCCACAACAGTTGGTCTAAGCCACGTAGGAAGGTGTAGACTTCCAGGCTGGGGTCCTCGGGACGGTAAAAATCTATGGTTGGAAACAATTGGTGACATGGCTCAAAACCGTTCTCAGTGGCGCAGATGCATCCACTCCCTGTGACTTATGATCTTCAATGAAACTGTTTTGTATTTCTTTATTACTCCTTTGTCTCACACCTCTGCTCACTGTTTCTATTATGCTTTTCTTGTACTTTCTTCTCTTGCTTCGCGTGCTACACGGAATGTGGCGACTTGAACTTCCGCACATTTGTGCAAAGTTCTATGTCGAAAACAGACAGACAGACAAAAGAAATGTAGTGAAGACCCTCAGCCACAGAGTTAGTTAGAGCTATATGCTCACAAGAAAAAATTGAAGATGAACTAAGCACTATATATGATAACTTGATTGATTGAAAATAGCTATCCCGATAAATTTATCAAGAAACACATGACAAAGAAAGCGGAGATGGACTACTCACTATCTGTAAACAAGAAGCCACTTTATACATACGACTGCAATTCAAGGGCAATATACCAAGTGAAATAATTACGAAGAAATTAAGAAAATCAGTTCAAATAACTTTCAATGCTGGCAAACTACAAGTCATGTTCACTACACAACCGGTGGTGATTCATCTATTGAAAGATGAAATACCTAAACTAGTCACTTCTTCCAACTGTGTCTACCAATTCAACTGCGCTTCTGGTGGAGTGAGTTATTCTGGCCGTTGATCTAGGAACATCTTCCATTATAGCTAAATGAAAGTGTAGCAAAAATCCTCAATAGTTCGACATTAGACCATCTGGTCTAAACTGACCGGCCACAAAGCCACCCAGCATTGAAGAAGCCTTCTCTATCATCTACCGGCTGCCAACCAAATAAATTGCCAGAAACTTCGAGTTATGGTATGCTCTAAATAGCAAAGACTATCGCGATTCGCTTAAAATAACCAATGTTTTGTGTGCAGAAGAAGAAGCAAGTCCAGCCAGTCACTACTACTACTGCCCTGACAGGCCTTCAGTGAAGACTAAAAATTCATGAATTTATATGATTATCTTTCCTAATTTTTCTGACATCCAGTTTATTGTTTTGTTGATGCTCTTCACACTGAAAATCTCTTTGACTGACAATCCACTCGTCACTAGTCTACACCGACACTCACTCACCACATGTCGAAGCGTTACTTGATTATGTGGTTAGTTGTAGCTCGGTGAATATTTTGTGAGTTCGTTGAAATGATGAGTGATAGATAGATAGATAGATATTGTTGTTATGATGATGATATTTGTTTTGTGAATGATGGAGTTGATATGTGGTTGTTGTGAGTGTGTGTGTGTGTTGTGTGAAGTGGGTTGAATATGTGAATGTGTACGTGCTCCTTGATAGTATAGTGGTGAGTATCTCTACCTGTCACGTGGAAGGCCCAGGTTTGATTCCCGGTCGAGGAGCTAGCTTTTACTTCAGCCGATCCATCCATCCATCCATCAATCAAACAATCAATTAGTCAACCGTGCTGTGCACTAAGTCTCGCATCATCCACTACTGTCGCCATCACCTTGACTGACTGACTGACCGACCGACCGACCGACAGTTGACTAACTGCACTCCCCAGCAGATGTCATAAGCCGAAAAATGCATGATGACACATCCACACATGCACACACACATATATAGATAGATAGATTTGATGTTATTTAAACAATATTAATGTAGTTCATAATACTAATTCATCCATTCATCATAATGTACATATAACTGCAGAACCTGATGATGAAGTTATCGAAAAGATTATTCTTTATTCAGTAACCATTCTTTTGAAAAAGTTGCAAAAAGCTCTTACTAGGTTATAATCATCGAAATAGAATATTCAAAATCAAATCAAAAAAGTAGTCAAATAGGCGAATAGAATAATCAAGATCCCTAAACACTTAAACACCAAGCAGTAGATGATATCCATGAATGATCAGTAACCTCTAATTCTTTTTTTTTTTTTCAGAAGAAAATACCATAAATTAACCATAGAATTTCATTTTAATAAATATATATATTTTGTTTTACTTGAATGACATTTACAAGTATATACAAGCTCTTTAAAAAAAACAATTTGATTACATCACCACTGGATTATAAAGTTATTCTTACTATACAGCTAAAAATACAGATGAACTCAATGATACTGATGACGAAATCGATCAATTAACACATGATATATGATGCATACAAGCAAATAAATATGTACAGATCATTCTAGACAAGAAGAAGGAAATCTGACAGTCAACAATGTGTCTGAGATGCTACTCCTGATTCTGTCACAGCTTTCCTTCTTTTTCATTATTTTTGATTGCAGATATATTCTGGTAATTGGAGAAAATCATTCACCAATCCTAATGGACGTAAATGATACAGAAAGTATTCCAGTGTATACATCATTTCAGGCTGGACATAGTGAAATGTAATGCCAATATCACTGAGTAATGACTTCAAAGTGTTTATTGTATTTAAATAGTTCGCCGTATGTTTTTTTTGATTTTGTTTTATTTTGGTTAGTTATTGACGCGGGAAGAATGCAAGTGCAAATAAATAAAAAACAAGAAAATTATTTTCAAGTAAACATCACTTAAAAATAAAAATGTTAATTAAAAATATGGAAAAATCCCCCATTTAGACATTTAGAAATCAAAAGGCTTGAGCGAAGAAATATTTACTTTTCAATTAGATCCTCATCTCACTCTGGTTCTACTCTAATAAACTTGTATTGCATCTTTTGTTTTATTACAATATACAACAAGTTGCCAATCAAAAGAGCTTAGTATGCAGCAGAGGTACGTTGTCTCTTCACTGCAACCCCTATTCTACCCACCTTAATTTGCCTCCCCTATGTGTATCTACCAGTTTGACTGGAGCTGCGGAACCAGCTTCATCGGGCGTACAATTAGGCAGGTTCATCATCGTATTTCCGAACATCATCCTGCATAGCAGTTAAGCAAGAAAGAAACAAGATCTATTCGTAGCTGACTCTGTTTTAGCACACCTTATAGATAGAGAGCATAAAGTTGATGTTAATACAACATTTAAAATTTTTTACCGCATTCCTACTAATCTTAATTTTGCCCTACGAGTTTGTCTTCTACATAACTACAGCTGAAGCAATAGGAATCCCCCTGAAGAACAAGCTAAGCGTGTGTGTTCAGAAGAAATCTGTACAGCCACTTTCTTCACCTTGTCCATGGTTGTTACGTGAATGTGTAAACCAGACTACTTCGCCCCCCGACTCTCCCTAAACCTTTAAAAATTATCATTGACCAAATAATTTTCAATATAGCAAAAATATTCATTCAGACATCTATAAAACACAAAATAATCGAGCGAAGAATATTGTTTTCGATAAGTTCCTCTTCCAGAATATTCTAGATTAGTAGTCAATAACAATATGAGTGTTTCTAAATAATATCGATTTGTAAAGTAAGATCACAATGGAATTACCACAGTTCATTAAAGATGCTTAAATTATAATAATAATTATAAAGATATAATAGCGAATAGTACATGAACTAAAATTATGGAAATTCCACAAAAATTCAGGATTATTCAAACCTGGACGTCCAAGGTAATGACAATGTCTGAACTAAATTCTTTTGGATGCATAAATTAGGCCTGTTATTATGGATCCCAACAGCCAGCCTCAGCAATATTTTGTAGTCGAACTCTTAAGGCAAAATTGAGATTCGTAGGTATGCGGTTAATGAATGACCCTGAAAGCATGGTTAACGTCAGTCATGTGTTCTGTCTCTACAAGATGAGACAGAATAGCGCTGTGAATAGATTTGTTTGTTTGTCCTTTGCTTAACCAGAGTGCGCTACAATTGCTTAGTTACATGAAACTCTCATTTCTCTGTTGTTTCTCACCACAAAATTCTGTGAATTATTGCAATCCGTTTACTTTCAAACACGAAACCTGGGATATAATCTTGTTGACTACTAATACCTAAATTTAATTGTTTGGTATTTGTGACTTTTTAACACTAACTCATATCTGTAATTGTATATATTGTTGGATTTATATGTTCAAGTTGGCCCAAGTCAGTGAATCTATGGTTTTGGTATCATTTTAGTTAACTGTGCTTAGCTGTATCGCATGTTGTTGTATTTTATTGTTATTGTCGCTTTTTGCCCTTTTTGCTGTGAATTATTTTCCTTTTGCTGGTGTTGCTCTGATTGTTTTATGCCTTGTTTTCCGATTTTAAGGGGAGCAACCCAAAAGGTGGCTTCTCTGTAAACTATAAACTCCTAATGTAACAATCCCTTTCTCAAGCGTGAGGCTAGAAACCCCACCCTGTAATCAAAGTTGCTACGGAGACTTCAGCACGATGAATCTCTTTGCACCAAAAGAAAAAGTCTGTGTGGAGACGTCCGCACTATGTACGAGATTGGAAAAGCTGCCCAGATAAGATACGGAATCCAAGTGCTGGGAATATGTGAAAGCAGATGGAACGGGAATGGACTCACCAGATTGTTTTAAATCTTAAGTCTGTGTGGAGGTCAACAGCACTCAGCACGGAAAATAATATCCGGATTTTCAACTCCAATGTGAATTCAGTGCTACTATACGGATGGATCAGAGACTTGGCGCGTCATAAAGGGCATCTCAAACAAACTACAGACCTTCATTAACAGTTATCTCCGCTCAATACTCAAGATCAGATGGCCGGCCAGAAAAAATCAGCAACAGGGATCTCTGGTAATGAGCGAACCAAACAGAAACCGATTGTGAAAGAAATAGGCAGGAGGAAATGGAGATGGATTGGCCATACTCTGAGGAAACAAACCATCAAGTGAGTGACATCACTGAAGAAGCTGTTGATCGGGTGGAAACCGAAAGGGAAGCGGCGAGCTGGTCGTCGGTGCAAGGGTGACTTGGAGGAGGTGGTATTGTGAAGAAAAGATGAAAGCATGTGGGGAGACTTGGAGCGGAGTGAAAAAGTTGGCAGAAAACCGAACGCAATGGAGACTTGGGCGGCTGAAGCCCTATGTTCCTCTAGGAATTAAAGGATATAATAATAATAAATAATAATAATAATATTGCTTAACCACGCAGGGTGTTGTTCGGAAATTCTTATGTCCACTTCACCCTTAGTTACAAATTATCATTGTCCAAATCGTTTTATTTTCCTCAACAACCTGTTACGTAAAGAAACTGTGCACACGCTTATTCCTTAATTACTCTTTATTTTTCCAAAATTATGCATTACGTAATTCACGTGTTGTAACCATCTCTACCTTTGAATTGTGTGTATTAATTTGCTTCGTTAATTACCACTCCTTGTGTTTGACTTGTTGATACTGACTAATTATTGTTAACGAACAAACATATCACTACCACTTGATTGGTATTCGTTTGTGCATTGTGATAAAAATGCCACATGTACGTGTTTATTAGAGTAGAGCCAGAAGGAGATAAAGATGTTTACATTACACTGTGTATAACACACTGTGAGACTTTATCAAAACAGAATTTTACCCATAATGGAATTACACTCTACCACCACAGTGCACAAGTTTTATTCTTATATCAAAGATAAATATTTCTCCGCTCAATTTGTTTGCTGTCTAAATTTAAAATATGAGCAAAGTTAAACTGTAAACACCCAAAATATGCGAATGTATCGATAACTTTGGAAAGAGTCAGTCATTCAAACTTAAATTTAAATTTAATCTCTTAATCCAATGAGTAAGTTTACAGTATATCTGAATAACAACGCTTAGTGTAACGCTGTTATGTTGACGAAATAACATAAGTAATATATTATATATATATATTCCACATAAGTAATATATCCTGAGTCACATCATCCTAGAGAGAATTAAGGACGCACTAGATACAGAACTCCGACCAGAACAAGCTGGATTCAGGAAAGGCAAACCATGTTCTGACCAAGTTGCAAATCTACGCATCATCATCACAGAACAAAGCATACAATGGCAATCAAACCTTTACCTCAACTTTATAGACTTTGAAAAGGCCTTTGCAAGACAGCGTTGACCGTGAAGTAATTTGGAAACTACTTGAGTACTACGGCGTAACCCAAATATTCATCAAACTCATTCAACCAACAGCTGTACGGCAACGGCACATGTCAAGTGATCCACAACGGAAAACTCAGCGAGGCGTTTGGAGTAAACACCGGAGTCATACGAGGGTGCCTGCCTATTATCACCAATGATATTCCTAATTGTGGTGGACTGGCTGGATTATGCGTCAGACAGTGAGTGGAAAACTCGAAGATAGGAATATCCTGGACAGACGTGAAGAACCTAGAAGACGTGGATTTCGCGCGTGGATGATTTATGTGTGATGTCACACAAAATCGAAGACTTACAAGCGAAAACCAGCCGACAAGCTGGTCGAATAAGCAGCCGGCGAAGACAGGACTCCAGGTGAACATAGACAAGATGGAGGTTATGAAAATAATCAACCAACCAACAACAACAACAGCACCAACAGCGCCAATCACCATCAACGGGAGGGATTTGAAAGAGGTCACTTCATTCACTCACCCATCTATTGCTACTATAATATCTACATTTTGCATCCAGTCTACTGTTTACCAACATTTATTTATCACCTAAATATGAATTCTAACAGAATCATTTACTCTCGTAACTTTATTAATCATTTACGACCAAATGACTTTCATATTCCAAAGAAACCAAGGAGGAAACATCGTAGTGGTTGGCAGAGAGCTCTCAAACGTACACCAATACACTTAACTACGGTCCCCGTCATAATGAACACAAACTGTCGCTCTCTGCCAAATAAGATAATGTACCTACAATCCTTGATGTCAACTGATACGTATCATAACACCGCCATAATCGCATTACAAGAAACGTGGTTGCATGAACTGTATGATGACAACCTTATCTCACTAAAGGACTTTATTTTATTTCGTCAAGACCGTCAATGTTGTAATAAGAAAAATGGTGGTGGCGTTGCAACTTTTATTCACTCCAAATGGTCTGTCTCAAATAACGTCTGCTTCACCTTCTCAAATGACTTCATTGACTGTATTACTGTCAAATGTCGCCCCAAACATCTCCCCAAATATAAACAATTCTATATTACAAACATGTACATTTCTCCTAGTTGCTCTCCATCTGATCTATCTAATTTTGCTGATGAATTCACCATGTTTGCTGCTGCCAACTTCGACAACTCTCTATCCGTTATTACTGGAGACTTCAACACATCAGATTGCTCCTTTCTTGAAGCTCTTGGTCACACAAACATAGTCAAATTTCCCACTCGACTTGACAAAACACTCGATCTAGTTTTTACTAATGACGAAGGAGTATATGAAACACGTAGACGTTCACCGATACTTAACTCCGATCACTGCATTGTCCGCGTTTTGCCAAAAATATACAGCAAAACACATATTAAAATCTTCTCACACCTGTCTACGAAAGCACAACAAAGA